ATGACGCGTTAAATTTAAAATAATCTTATTTAGTAACAAATTGTGCTCTGCCTCTGAAATTGAATTAAAGCTATGGAATAAAGATGTACCATTCAAAATTAAATCAACCTACCTCGTCATTTGGATTAGCCTTACCACTCTGCAAAAGCAACTCCTGAACTTTGATGCTAAGCTTCATCACGACTGCCGAAATAGCACATATACATATGCAGACATGAACACATATGCATCCATGCATATACATACATTTCTGAATCTGGTCCTGATAACAGAAGAATAACTGTATATATAAATATTTTTAAAATTTGTATTCCCTCAGAATTGGTTTTATGTATTTATTCATTCTTTTATTTTTAAGTTTTTCTTTTAAAAATAAATCCTGCTGCATAGAATAAACATATGAAAAATTTTTCAGTAATTTAAAAGATGGTATATCATTACATAACCACCATTATCATTATTTTTCTTTCTGAAATGTATAAAATGTGAACTCCATGTTGTCATGCTTTTGAAAATCTGCTGATACGTAAGACCACCAAATAATTATTGTCACATAATCTGATAGATTTATATAGGTTTAATAAGATTTTGGCACTTTTTGATTATCGACACCCCCAACAGAAAGTTGCAAATTCATTAACGACTTTATCGAGCATTTCAAACTCGTTTGTGATTAATTTTTTGCCAAGCTGATTCATAAAAGCCATATTCAGATTGGTGGCACACTAAAAATTCCATGTAAATACTGTTAATTAGCATAGTTAAAAAGGCAAGAAACATCGGTAATAAAGCGCTTACTTATTTTGAGAAATCTATCTTGTTTGTGCTGCTTTTCTCACTATGTATATAATGACCTGTTTTCACTTAAAAAAAAAAAAAAAAAAAAAAAAAAAAAAAAGAAAAAAAAGAAAGAAAAAAAAAAAATCTTAAGAATTGCACTAACTTGGCTAGAACGAACTTGTGTTACACACATACCTGGATTGCCGCATAAATATGTTTTGTTGACATTGTGGGCTGCCACACAACTATTTTGTTGTTATACTAATTTGCCTTACAAATATGTTTTGAGAAGGCCACACATAATCGGAAAATACCAAGATTTCCTTTTATGTCAGTCTTAATTTTTTATATAAAGCAGAAGGAAATAGCCGAATTGAACTTATTACTAGTTTATATATTTTTAACTAATGAGTGATCAAAAAATCAAATTTCTTGTTATTATTCTGAACTGCAGATTCAAGTACATGTGTTTAAATAATCACTAAAGATGATTAGGGAAGAATTGATTATTTATTGTAACTAATAATTAAATGCAGCTAAATAAACAGCTGTAACTAACTCGAGAACACAAATAACAGCCAAACCTCCTTGATGCATAAAAAGTATCATAAATTCCCAATATCACTCACAGAATAAATGGTACTTATGTATTAATGCAACCAGGCCAAAATTCGCATAAATCGCCAAATTTGGCAACCCTACTTACGGCAACCCTACTTACGGCAACCCTACATGATGAAAGTTTATTTGTAAAAAGAAAAAATAACACTGGGCGTGTACTACCACAGCAATGGGTTTTCGGCGGAATTTGCCGAGAAAAGAGAGAGACTTTTTTGGCTACTGTACCTAACAGAAGCGCTGTTACCCTCATGGAAAAAATTTGCGAAAATATCAAGGAAGGAAGCATCATTTATTCGGATTGCTGGAAAGGATACAATACAAGTGAGTTCGAAAATGCTGGATTTCTGCATGGAACTGTTAATGACAAATATAACTTTGTGGATCCCAACACGGACGTTCACACACAACATGTAGAGTGCATGTGGGGCTCAGCCAAATGACGCAACAAAAAACAGAGAGGAACAGCCCGTCATCATCTTGACTCATACCTTATCGAATTTATATGGCGCCAAGCTGAAGCTGTTAATGGCAAAGGCGGTTTTCAATCAGTGCTAAAAGCAATAGCCAAAAGATTTCCGCGGAAAAAATAATTCTGCAACTTATTCAAATTCGAAACCGGAAGGGTTTAATTGCTATTTTATATTTTAAAATAAAATAATATAAAAAAACTGTATTAAAAATTATCTGTAATTAATAAATGTACATTTTCTTTCTATTCATACTTTTTTACTGAAACTTACAAATCGTGCCAACCTGGTTGCGATAATACGTAAGTACCATAAATTCTAAAATGCAATTTAACTAATTCTTAAACCGTGGTCTTTATAAAAACTTAAATTTTGTAAATTTAAAAAAATGATTCTTATGCTGACTTTTGAAATTCTGTTTATACGGTGCTTAGCAGGTTTCTGGAAGCTTTGGGAAAAATCATTCGTACAGCTTAGCAACTTTCTAGAAACCAACTTAGTGACAGTTTTTGCACCAGTGTGGTGAAAAAGTTTCTTTTCCCCCCCAAACCATTTCAGTGTTTTTTTGCTCATATATGTGATGTTTTATTTGAAATGTTTTCACAGTTTAAATGTTGTGTTCGAGCAAGCTGTATACTGGTTGGGTACACACAGCGCCCTCACATACATTTGCTGCCACACTTTCCTGTGTGAAATCAGTTACCCGACGCCTTCCCTACCTCCCCACGAAATTTTAATGATAAATTTTGAAACACCCTGTATATATATGTGATGTATCAGCTTTAGTCGTAGCTTAAATAATCAGTCGATAAGTTTAAAAAACAGGATCCATTTATTATTATTCAGGAGAAATAGCAGTTACAAAAATCAGATATCCGGAGTAAATAAAAAGAATTACTAATAACTTTTTGTATGAATTTTACTGCATCGTGACATTTGAGAAAAAAGCCTCCAAAATTCCTTTGCGAGTCCTTTTATAGCCTCTGGAAAGGCGGAGCTTCCAAGAAATGACAGCTTCATCAGCCAATCCAGTTCGCTTAAAATATCTCCAGAACATTCTAAAACTGTACAAGTAGAAAAGGCGGGAAAAACAGCCTGACTACGGGGCTGTGGATTTAATTCCACGTACTTTCAAATAAGAGAATGTCGCCATTAAAAATGAAAAGAACATACAGTTAGAATTTTAAGTGTATGTTTGACTATGGAATTTTATTATTACAAATATATATATATGTAAGATTAAAAAGAAATGCAAATCAAAATTATAATTTAAAATGCCTCTTAGTTGCTCATTTTTAATTTGGGTGCTTTGTCTCTAGTAATAACTTTCTCTATCTGAAAACGTTATCATATCCGCATTATGTCATCTTGAAATTTCTGCATTGCCTATAAGTTTTAGCCAATCAGATTATTAACAAAAAATTTACTCTAAATTATTGTGCAATCCTACCATCCTCCTTCTTTTTCTGCATATGCTTGCTGGCTGAAGGATGTTTCTTGCTTGGCTGCTTTTGTTAAAAATGTGCCATCATGAAAATTGTGAGGTGCAGATTGGCACCCATTGTGAAATGCAACAAGTAATGAAGGGTACTTTTCCATTTTGCCGGCGCAGGCAATAAAGTCACCAAAAATGGTACAACAGATGCCAAATGGAATATCCTCGCCGGTATCCTTTTACGCTTGGTTTTCAAAACAAGTAGCAGCAAATTCTTATCGAATTGATTGTTTCTTTCAATAATGACAAAAAATTACATAGAATTTTTACCAGATAGCTCAATTTTATGTCCTAAGTGATACAAATCATGTTCACCGTGTTAGGCTTAGCTTCACCAGCGCTGTGGATGTTGCTTCTTTTCTTTCGGAAAAATCAAAATTTCTTGTTCATTTCTGCTAAATAAACTTCTTTAGAGCATATCGTGCTGATAACGTGATAGAAATTACTTAAATGGCAGATATATTTTGAAAATATAGTAGAAAGAAATAAGCAAACCACAAATGCACGTTACATGTTTAGTTAGCCATAGTAGAAAGAAATAAGCAAACCACAAATGCACGTTACATGTTTAGTTAGCCAAGTAAATAAACATGTAACATGCATTTGTGGTTTGCTTGTTTCTTTCTACTATATTTTCAAAATATATTTGCCATTTAAATAATTTCTATCACTAAGGGCTTTTGCGGTAATTAATTCAATTAGGATGCAATCACACCGCTCATCTGAAGGCAAAAATATAGAAAAAGCGAAGTCAAAGGTTAAATTTATCAGTTCTAATGAGAATGCTCTAGTAAAGTAAAGCACTGCAATTTTACATAATTTCTGAGTAAGCTATTCATACGAATTGAAAGAATTCTTGCATTTAAATTTTTATTCCATAAGATTTAAGATTTAACTTGAAATTAATGTAGATAATTACTGACAGAATTAGATTTTTGTAGCGTAGTTTACGTGAGATGAGATCACTTGGGGTCATGTGATATGAACCGGTGAATCAGGATGTTGAACATGTGATCATAGTAAATTCTTAGTCTTTTTACAAAATTTAAATGATATTAAAATGTTTATGCTTTCAAAATAAAAAATTCTTAGAAGTAACATTTGTTATTTATGTATTTACTGTCTGTTGTCGCCAATTAAGTGTGCTTGGTGAGATTTGCGCCAGCCAAACGGAAAAGTACCTAATAAAGATATACCTGGAATATCAAGTGATTTTTGTGATTCTTCAAAAGTTCCCTGCATCTTCTGCTATGCAATGGATAATTTCTGTGTTCTTCTAATTGTCAATTAACTCGAGACTGCAAAATAATGTCTTCCCTAGTCAAGCATTCATCTTTCATCAATTTACTGCATTTGACTTATCATCACTATATATGTATGTGTGTGTGTATTTCTCTCGGGTGTATTATATGCAGCATTACACTTCCATACATAGGATAATATTTTTGTTACTTATATCAGTGAACTGCCTTCTCTTAAGAAATGCCTTACATAATTTTATTTATTTTATTAGAACTTTAGGTATTTTTCTTGTCCTGTAAAAGGGGTAAAATTTTATGTATAAATTTGACTTGACTACTTTGGCAGCATGAAAAAAGAAAATGCAATTCATTTTAGAATAAAACATTTTATTTTAGGTTTCACGTGAATGGGTGTTTCCTGGTGCTAGACATATGTGGCGTGGTATGTTTGGTCATTGCCCTAAAAGATTTCACTCTTTCCATTCTATGAAAGAAAATTCTGCAAAAAAGGATGATCAACATCAGAAATCAGCTGATAACAAGTCAGAAGAGCATCAAAAGCCAGCCGATATTTTTGATATTTTTGGAACTCTTCTGGGGGAAAATCCTGGGAGTGCTATATCAAAAATGGCTGAATTGTGTCAACACCAATTGCTGGCTTTGAGTAAAGTAGCTGGTAAGTAAATATATGGTTAACATGTGCATCTTAATTAAAAACAGTCTATATCAACTGTTATTTAATTATATATTATTCTGTCAAAAATTAAAGAACTTTTATGTACATTAAAAAAATAAAATTCTAGTCTTAATGCTGAGTTAAAAAATACTTTCATGTATTTAATAAAAAAATATGAATGAAATCTTTTGTTATACCAAATTTCTTATTTAAAAACAGGATTGCATTATTGAATAATTGCTCAATTATACTGCCTTGTAATTTTTCATTCCATGTAATCATACTATCATATATTTTCTTAAAATGGGACTGTAGGTCAATTATGCAAGCTCTGTATTCCACTCTAAGAAATAATTAAGGTAGGCTTTGAGAGTTTTAATCATAAACCATTCAGTAAATATATAGCTTGAACTTACTTTTTTATACAAGCCCTGTAAAAAAGGAAGTGTCAAAGAAAAAATATTTTCTGACTGAAATAATTGGGAGGAATTATCCAAGGCATTATTAAAATGCATTTTGAGAAAATTGTGCATAAGTAATGTTAAAAGCATTGAGTTATAGTAAGTTTTCAATAAATAAACTATTACATCTTTAGTGTAAAATTTTACGGTTTTTTATCATCAAATAAAAGTAATTCTTCGATTTCATCATGTGGAAGTAGAGTGTTTGTGATAAGAATCATGTAATGTGTTCTGACATGTATACCAAGCAGAAAGGTGGCTATGGAGCCAAACTATTGATCATACAGATTTATGCTAATAAATGATAATTTCTTCAGTATGGAGGTACTTTATTTAGTGCCAAAAGGAAATTTTGGGACTCTTCTCAGGTTTTATTATAAAAAAGAAAATCAAATGTGTATGCATAAAGCATACAAAAAAAATTCTTAAAAAATAATAAAATGGTTGCTGATGATCTAGAGGTCTAGATTTTTTAAGGCATCCAGATTTTGGACTTTTACTGTATTATTATTCATTTCTTTTCTTTTTGTCAAATTTCAGACATTTTAAACCAAATTTGAGTTATTTCATATAATTAATGAATTGCTTTTTTTGGTAGGGCAATCCAGTGGATATTATGTTTAAAATATTTCAAATGCATAAAGGTCATCCAATTGGATAATCAATGTCTTTAAATTATAGTTTTCTCAGGAAACTGCCTTATATGACATAGGAGAAAAATCTGGAAATAATTGTGAAAACTATTAAGCCTATTAGCGAGGTATGAAACATTGTTATCTATAAAAGGAAGTTCTAATACCAAGTGTATTTGGAACTGCATGGAGTAAACTTAATTTAAAAAATAATCTGATGATGTAAGCACATGACCTCCTGCCAATTCCATTTTAAGACATGTTATTGGTTGAACAGCAGTCAACATTATCACTTCAGTTTGATTGTTTGCAAATAAGACTTAACAAACTTTATGGCTGGATGATAACTATAAGCACGACTCATTTTTTAATTCTATTCTCCCATACAGCGGATAATAACAACTATACGTGCTCATGTACACATCACTTCCTATGCTTTGATTTAAAATATCTCATTGATCATTGTATATCCTCTGAATGTATAGAATTTCAGATTCACAAATCAATGGCTCAACAATTACAAATTTTAAAAGAAGTATATCTTCATAACTCCCTGTAGAATGTTAAGTGTTGTCATATGTTTCTTTTTATATTTGGTATGCTATTAATATTTACTGCATTATTTCTTCAAAAGGAACATTTAATGGCAGCATCCTTTTATTTAAAAAATGGTTTGACACAAAGTAAAACACATCGAGGATTGAGGCTAATACATTTAATTGTTTCATAATTAGAGATTGTCTTCATAATGAGCTTATTAATGTTTAGCATAATTCCAAGAATACATTGAATGCATATAAATGTAATATGTTCTCAAATATATATCTATTTTAAATATTGAAGTTGAGAAGTTTTGGATTATCTCATAATATATATATATGTAATGATTTAAAAATGCATAGATGAAGGTACTGGAGCTTTAACAGCTTATGATACTGCGTAGATGACTGAGAAGACCGTAGTGGCAGAGTAGAAAGCATGACGATGCAGTTTAGCACAACGTATCTTGAAAAATCACAATCTTTATTTTTTTACGTATATCAAACCATCCTTTTGCAGATGAGATGTTTCTAATTATATTTGAATACAAGTTTCATTTTGAAGTACGATTCCATTTTAAGCAAGTAGCAGCATACACAAAACGTGTTTTGCCAGCAGGAGAGCTTATGCGAGAAAGGGGGAAAGTTATAGTACTTTCAGAGGAAGAAGGTTGGGAGTGGGAAAGTTTCAGTTCAGAGTTTTGGTTTAAAATTAATTTGATTAGACAAAAGAGGCATCTGCATTAAAACGTTACATAAGATAAAAAAATCTTGAACCTGTGAGAGGAGATGAATTTAGGGGCAAATCGCCAGATTTAGAATGCTAATTTTGAGGTCGCCAGTTATTTTTTTGAAACAGCTATTATATTTTGTTGTATCTCACATGTAGCTATTTTTCATTATTTCTTCTTACTTTTGTGGCCATTTTATAACATTTTGTTGAATTAGCCATTTTTTCTTTCACCCAGCCCAAATTTCTTCAAACTCCTAAAGCAAGATGCCATTTTGAACCATTTTAGCATATTTCGACACATTGACACCCCCCGTTGCACTGAGTCAGGTTTTTGCCAACGGCCGGTCACTTTTCATTGGCTCTTTCCTAGTGATGTTTTTTCCCCTTTTTACATAATTTTGCCTTGTTGTTCGGGGCTGACAGCCCCTTTTTGACTTTGATCTTACAACGATAAAGACGGCGCCTCTCCAGGTCTGATTAAAAAAAATATTTCTTCTCTTATGAAAATTTTGGTCTTGGCAAGACCCTTACTTCAATTCCTCTGTTTTATTATTATTTAAAACTTAATTTTTGGTACTTTTACAAGTATTAACTCTATAAGCTAGTAGGTCCTCTCATAAAATCTTGTTTATTTTGACTAATAACTTCAATTCCTCTGTTTTATTATTATTTAAAATTTAAAATTTAATTTTTAGTACTTTTACAAAGTATTAACTCTATAAGCTAGTAGGTCTTCTCATAAAATCTTGTATACTTTGACTAATAACAAATCGCTATTTATTTTATTTTGTACATCGGCAATACTATTCCATTATCTATTGTCTTCATTACACCTTAATATGTTTCTTCAAGCGGACGCGTTGGGAAATTGGAACAAGGAATTGACACTAAAGATATTGGCAAAGTTTATTCAATTAATTAAAAACTGCTTCGCATGCAGTTTCAACTGTCTGTTTCAGCGAAATGCGTTGTGGAGTTAGCTTGATTTGAAATTCATTAAAAAGTAATTTCCCCTGATAATAATGAGATTCGAAGTAGGCGAATCTACCATTTACCGCTTCTTAGTTTTTATATTTTTGCTCAAATCATTTGTTAGTACTTTTACTAATGTTTTAAATATACCTTAATTTGATTAGCATATTGCTTACTAGTATTAGTATTGATTTTTGCTTGTAAATATTCAAGTGTTGTATTTTTTTTCTCTTGTAACACATGTTTCATTGCAACTTATTTTGCTTATGTTAATGTTTTCACGGAACCACAGTATTTAAGCGACTTTTTAGCGTACAAACTAGGATTTTTCTTTTAACCTTTTTCTAAATTTTGCAGCACAACGCGCAAAGTTTTTGACCACATAACTCTTTTATCGTTTGTTCTTTTTACTTTACTATTTATATTACATTTAATTCCAAAATTTAAGCACCAAGAGGAAAATGCTAATTTCCGGAAGCCAATCAGAATTGAAGAGGATTCAATTTGCTACAGAGGTAGATGGAAGTATGCAAATATGTTAGGTAACAGCCAGTCGTGCTTTCATCTCAAGAAATATGCAAAAAAGGCAGTCTTATAAGAAGCCATCTTTATGAAGGGTTACAGAAGTTGATTGTAAGTGCTGATAAAAGGTGTTTAAAACTTTCGTGCAGTTTGTTTTCAAGACATATGTGTTTCTATGACTTCCAGAAGACGGATAGAAGATTCTGAGGGCTGGCGTGCTGTAGAGTGAATGCAGGACAGTCGATCACAGATGTTGCTCTTTTCTTCGACATTCATCATTCTGTAATTTCACGTTTATGGAAACAATTCCAAATCACACAGACAGTTGTCCGAAGACCCGTAGCCGGTCGCCCAAGGGTTACAACCCCCGGGGAAGATCAATATATTGCTATTGTAGCCAAGTGGAATCGCAGAGTGACCTCCACACGTGTGACATCTATAGTTACAGCATCTGTTGGAAAGGCAATGTCTGCAGCTACTGTACGCTGAAGATTACATATGAGTAGACTGTACGCCCGGGTACCTCAAGTGTGTTCCTCTATCCGTCAAATCAAGAGGGGCACGATTACAGTGGTGCCGGGAACATGTCAATTGGAATGTGTCTGACTGGGGCAATGTCATGTTTACTGGTGAGTCAGGATTTGCTCTGGAGCCAGATGACAAGCGTATAAAGATATGGCGTGAACAATGACACGCAATCAGTCCCAAAACATCACACATTCCGAGGCGGAATTCCAAGGCGAATTGACTGGGGCAATGTCATGTTTAGTGGTGAGTCAAGATTTGCTCTGAAGCCAGATGACAAGCATATAAGGATATGGCGTGAACAATGACACGCAATCAGTTCCAAAACATCACCGAACATCACGCATTCCGAGGCGGAAGCATTATGGTGCGGGCAGGGATTTCATTAGGATATCGCACTGACCTGCACTTCTTTGACGGCTGTCCGGTATCGAGATGAAGTCCTAGAATCCATTTTGAGATTGTACGCTGCAGCAGTTGGCCCTACTTTTGTTTTAATGGACGATAACGCACATCCTCATAGAGCTGACATCGTCAATGACTTACCTGAAGAGTGAAGGCATTGCGCGTATGATGTGGCCAGCATATTCGCCCGACCTTAATCCTATTGAAAATCTTTGGGATGCTCTCAGCCGTGCTGTATCTTCACGTATCCTACCTCCAGCCACTCTTATTGAGCTGAAACTGCTACAAGAAGAATGGCAATTGCTTAATTCTGCGGTGGTTGACCACCTAATTGAAAGCATGGTCACAAGGTGTTAACTTTGTATACAGAGGAGGGGGGGATCACATACCCTATTAATGTCCTTTTTTTTCCTCATTTTATGCTGTTTATTTTCATTTTATACATAATTTTGTTTAAGTCTCCAATATGTCATTATCTGATAACTTGAAAAAAAATTAATATTGTTTTCATTTCTGTATATAATTATTGATTTTGTTTTATGCATTAACATATATGCTACTTTCCTGCCAAATTTTGTGTCAATCAAAGCAGTATTTGTTAATGTTTTTACATTTTACATCTTTGTGCTTAACTTTTGGAAGTGAGTGTATATATATATATATATATATATATATATATATTTATTTTTTTTTTTTTACAAACGTCTGTTCAGAACTTCAAGGTAGCCAGAATCTAATAAGTTGTTCCCATTGATATAAAAGTCGTAAATACTAAAATTGAAAAGTTTTCAATTATATTTTAATACAGTTTTTGAGTAAAATTGTTATGGGCTTTGTATAATGCTGAAAATACTGGTTCTCATCCTATAAAGCACCAGTTCCAGTTCTCCAGTTTTTAAAAATTTAATAAACTCTTTATATGAATGTAGAAAGCATAAATATAGAAACAGATATTTTTGGAAGTTCATGTAAGAGTTATTGTGGGTGAAAAAATCATCACACACAGACAGATGGACATCATTCTAAAAATAATAAAAATGTGTTGTTGTGGGGAACCCTAATTCTTGTTTATTCACTAGAAACTCCTTGAAGTTTTTCGGCCAAAAACATTTCCTCTCTTACCTATGTATATAAGTTGGCAAGAGGTAAAAATATTACTGAATTTCCATAAAACTACAAAATGTTGTAATAGTGTGACAGACTGAAGATTAAATAGTATTGTTTGTTTCGCAGAAAGTAAGTTTATGATTTGCAATTAATGTCAGAGAATAAATCCTCTACAACAAAATTTAATTACTGCTTTCACTATATGTTATTTAAAAATTAATTAATTGCATCTTAGAAATATGTTTGTAGTTATTTTCATATTTTTAAAATTATTGAGTGATAATTTTGTTTTAATGGTTTAGTGTATTGAGCCTATACAAAAGGAGAATTGTATTTTTATATAGATGTAGATGTTAATGTGAAGTGTGCATTTAAAAAGTCAGAGGATGATGAACAAGCAGCTAAAGATACTGGTAATGATGAAGATGCTAAAGAAGAGAATGCAGACAAATCTAAAGCTGAAAATGATGATGTGATAGTGGAATCAGACGGAATCAAACTTGAAAATAAATTTGAAGGTGAAGGCAACAAAATTCCACTTGAATCCCAACTGGAGACAGAACTCAATAAATCAGATCAAAAGGTACAAGAGAGTGCTGCAAGTGGAGATGATAATAACACTTCAAGTGTCAGACCAAAAGTTATCAGTTTGGGTTTTTCGCCTGAAACTGATAAATATGGAAATGAACAGTTGTCAAGCTCTGCTTTTAAACCTGTAAGTACAAAAATTTAATTTTAATGTTATGATATTAAGTATTATGTAAACTTTTTCTTTTGAGCATATGGAGTTAATAAATGACATAAAATTTTCAAATTATTCTTCTGTGCTGTACTTTTGAAGAGTTTTGAGGTACGTGCACGTAACATGTGCCTACAAAAGTATTGATAACATTACATAGAAAAACAGCAGTCATAATTGAGATGGGCATATATAATAAATAATGAAATTTAATAAGGAAAGGTAACATAGATATACATTATAATGGCTTAAGAAAGAGCATAGTCCCAACACAGACACAGATGCCGAAGTTTACATATCCAGTGAAGCCACAGACTGAAGAAGTTACAGAAACTAACACAGACTACACTGCCAGAGAAAACTCATCTCTCCCTGTCAGCCCGTAGGGTTACCATACAGGTTTACTTTTTTTGTTTACTGTTTCACCAATTGGCATTTTTCTCTAGAGTTTTTGAGTTTGTATCACTTGTTTGGTGCTGCCGTTGCAGTTTCAGCAATCAAATTTTTCTTAACTTAGGGTTTATTAACATTCAGAAGGTTAAACAGTATAGTACATATTTATTTTTTAAGAATATTAATTCGGATAACATTTATAATAAAAAAGACCATCTCATATCAACAACATAACACTATGTATTGTTTGGCAACTATGCAGGTTTCAATAACATGCTGTCGCTTACCATTTGGCAAATATACAATATATAAACAATGGGCAAAAATTGATTACATGTCTTATGCAACATGTAGTTTTAGTGGTCTTCCCCCCCCCCCCCGAGTCATTGCTTAGTCTTAGCAAGTGTTTATGACACAAGCTGGGTGAAAAATCCATGAAAATGGCCACATTATTAAGGTGACCAAAAGTCCCAAATTTTCCAGGAGGTCCAAATAATCCAGCAGAGCCTGGATTTTCAGTCCCTGTCTCAATTTTTTTCAACTTGTTTTTTGGTCCCAAATTTAAAGTGAGTATTTAGCATTATGAACAGTTTTGGGGCTAGTGATAAAATGCAGCTTAAAGTGGACACTTTGAAGGATATATTAATCACCAAAATAATTTTGATGAAAATTGCACGGACTTTTAAAAAAATATCAAAGAGAAAAACATGTTTTAAGAAATGTTCATTTTTCAGAGATATATAAGGCTACTTTATCAAAATAATTTGGAAGGTTTACGAATTTATTATTTTGTTTAAAAACGAATACTGCATTTTTATTTTTTCTTTACTTATTAAGAATATATATCTCTATAAAAAATAAAACACAAATTATTAATTTTTATTTATAAATATATATATATATTGACTTACATACTACCTTCACCTCAATAAAATAATAAAGTAATTTATTTGTAAAAAAAATAATTAAAAATTATGGCATTTTGAATTTTGAAATCTAAGGCATTTTTGTAGTTTTTCTCATCAATAACTTGTAGTAGTTTCCCTTAGAAAGTACTCTTAAAGACTTGCCTCCCATTAAAGACAGATTTCCTTTTCATGCTTTGCCATAATCAGTTAAGCAGACAATAAAAATATGTATTAATTTCTGTTTTATGCAAATAAAATATTGTTACTTACTTATTCCTTAATTTTAGTGCAACAGAAATGGGAAGAGAAAGATTTTTTAAAAATTCGTTTTTAATTAAAATAGAAATGGGTTGTGTGCATCAATAAATTAAGAAATAATTTCATTGTCGAGTTTTATTGAAATAAATGTGGTTTTGGTGTTTTTTGAATGGGATTAACATTATTTTTGTTTTTTAGCTACATTATATATTTTTTTTAAATAAAAAGAGTAGACAATAAATTATCTCACCTGCATTGCAGTAAATATACATATTTTGTTTACACAAAAAAGTACTTATATACACTTTTTGCAAAAAATTGAAGCACCATGAAGGACGTGTTTTTTTTTGGATGAAACTGAATATGTGTGTAGCTCATACACAGGTAATAAAATGATTAAAAAATCAAGGTCATAGTACTTGTTCATGGCTCATAATCACCTATTGAGTGTTCAAATTAGTAATTGGTTGAACTGCCCCTAGCGGCAATGCATGCTTAAATTCGTCGAGGCAAGGAGTAGTAGAGGTTCCTAATGTTATTGTGCAAAACATTCTGTCAGGCATTAATCAATTGTCACTCCAGATCTGCGATATTTTGTGGTGCTTGAATCTGGCGGTCTACCATGTTTCGGACATGCTCAATTGGTAAAAGGTCTGGTGACCTTGCTGGCCAAAGAAGACTATCAACTGCATGGAGACAGTCCAGAGATATGGAAGCGGTATGTGGCCTGGCATTATCTTGTTGAAAAATGGCCCTAGGGTGATGCGTCATAAAGGTTAATGCAACTGGCCACAGGATGGTATCAACATATCGTTGAGCTGCGATCGCAAAAGTCCTTCTTAATGCTTCGATTTTTTTTTTTTTTTTTTGCAAAAGAGTGTATTAGCTCAACTGCAGTAATAGAAGTTTCCAAATTTTCTGAATGTAACCAAATTCTGGCAATTATGTTCTATTCTTGACACCCCTTTGTACTCTGGCAACCATATCCTTCTATTCTTTTGTTTCAATAATTAACGTCACCATTTTTGTATTGATACTTTTTGTTGCATTCTAAATCATAATATTTATTTAACTCAATCTTCATTTAAATTTATGTACTTGTGGGATTTGGTTGCAAGAGAAGAAACATCAGTAAAATTTCTGCAGGAATATATTTTGCTGCAAAATCACTAAAGGGAACAATTGCTTTCAATGTATTCTTGAACCAGTCACCATAAAATTTCCACTGGAACAAAAGAAACAAAAATGTGACCCCCAAATATCATACATCAGTTGTTTTCAGGATCCTTACTTATATTAATTGATTTTCAGGATAAATACCTAATTCAGATGTAAAATATGTACATCATGCGTAGATTTTTGGAATTATAAATCTTTCTTTTTTTTTTCAGTAAAATACATAGTATGTTTTTTAAGTAAGGGCCATTTTGTTGTATACACTAACAGGTGTCACACGCGCCACAACGAGTACTTGCATCGTGTCCTGGCATTCCTTGGAAACAACTATGCTCAGATGCAGCTCCATAGGTAACCTGTACAGTTTGTTCTGTGTCTTTAAAATGTTCAAGATTATCGAAACACCCACCACATGTGAGGTACGGTCAGTTCGGTCACCCATCTGTGATCACAGACAATATGACTACAGTTGAAGTGAAAATTCTTGAGAACAGACACTTTGCCATAAGCACTCTTTCAAACGAATTTCCTGAACCGTTTAAGTCAGTGCTGTGCAAGATTGTTTCTGAAAAGTTAAGATTTAAGAAACTCTGCTCCGTTGAGTCCCTAAACTCGTAACGGAGGAACACAAAAACAAAGATTTGTGTGTTCAATTTTTTAATTTTTTATTCATTATAAAAGAAGGTGATACCATGTTGTGTAGGATAGTAATTGGAGGTAAAACTTGGGTTTCACATGTCACACCCGAATGGAAAGGACAGAGTATGGAGTCGAGACACACAATTCTCCTGTAAGTCTCAAGGCTAAACAGATTCTGTCCTAGCAAAACATGATGACTTCTGTGTTTTGGGATAAGCATGGTGTTTTGTTGGCCAACTTCATGCAATGCGGAACCACCATAAATACAGAAGCCTACTGTCAAACCCTGCGAAAGCTACACAGAGCAATTCAAAAGAAGACATGGCATGCTGTCAGAGGGAATTTTGCTACACCATGACAATGCAAAGCCTCACATCACAGCTCAGACTCGAGCTTTATCGGACTCTCTTGGCTGAGAATTTGGAAGTGCACTTGCCGCAAGATCTGGGCTTTACTACCCCCTGTACAGCCCAGACCTTGCGGCAAGTGATTTTCCTCTTTTCTGCTATCTCAAACATCATCTCGGCGGCAAGCACTACAACAATGACAAAGACGGGAAAACGACTGTGACTTTTTGGTTATTGGAGCATGCAGCCAGTTTCTAGGAAGAGGTTATGAGGTATGATCTAGTTATAAGGTATGATAAGTGTTTAAACAAACTTGGAAACTGTGTTGAAAAATAGAGAAACGTGTAGAATCTGAAAATAAATTTTCTTTTGTTTGGTTTTTATTTTCAAATGGCCCTTACTTAAAAAACATCCCTCATATCACAAAACTGCACCGGAGTGGTTGCACTAACTGTTAAAAAGTATTTTAATAAAATTGTTTCTACTTAAAATACATCTGATTTCAGCTAAGTATTTTACAATAACCTTACTTATTATACCCTTAAATAGATAATTTAAATAATAATAATCAGCATAATGCTGTTAAATATGAAAGCCTTAATTCTATTTAGAATAATTATGTTGAGTAATAGTATTTAAATTAAATATGGTTTTGAATGAAAATTTAGGTTGCTGGAGGATTATTTGCACCAGAATCAGGAAACTGTGATGACTGGACATTGCTTAATAAAGATGATGCTGATAAACATGCAAAACCATCTTCAGAATCTGCAGATGACAGCTGTGTTAAGAAAAAGAAACAGGAACTGAAACAAGATGGTGATTTTGATGTGCGTTCTGAAGGTAAAGTATTTATCATTTTATTTATTTATGTGTGATTTTTAAATTAAAACAGGAGGGGAAAAGTATGCTTCATTTTGTTCAAGGTATTTTGTAGAATACTCTATTACAGTATAAAGTCCGAAATCCGGATGTCCATTATCCAGAATGATCTAAATTTCAGACCTCAAAACCACCACCAACGTTTTCTCGTAGGCTTTACGCATGCACATTTGATTCCTCCTTCCGCACATAATAAAACATCTGGAGAGTCTCAATTCTTAATTTCACTTCAACACTAAATAAAATACAGTACAAAATCTTTAATCCCGACGTCCATAATCCGGAATGATCTATAATCCTTAATAACCAGAACTAAAACATAATTTTTTTAAAGGCTGAAGGCAAAGATGGATTGGAATTAGGGTCGTTAACTAGAAAGTCGGTTGTTTTTAGTTCTGGTTTCATCACAGATGGCGCCAGTAGCTTATCTACTGTTCAGGCTTTCTTATCTTATCTAATCATTATATCCTATCTCGTTCATTTGCACTTTTGCAGCTGAGGATGCTGGTTCGGAAAAACCATCGAACCTAGTCCTGTGAAAATTTGGAAATATAATGCTGATTTTTGTTGTTTGACTTCTAAATTAATATTTGTGTGGCGTGTTATTATATCTTAACTGATTTGTTATTCACATAAACCCAGAACCAGTGCCAGGGCTGATATGGCTGCATCGAGTCGCATAATTTAGGATCAACAGGGACTGACTGCATCAGGTGGTAAGATATATCTAGCACCGTCGCTCAATAAGGCTTAAGTATATATGGGAATTTATTTATTCAGAACTTTGATAAGCCTTAAGCATGTGCAAGAAATAGACATAAGTATTATAAATAACTAAACTAATACAATTCAGGATTAGTTATCTCAGTGCACGATAGAAGCAAGATAAAATTTAACGAAACAGCTTGTCATTGGTCGCCAAGCTCATGATGCATAGCCAATATTTCTTCTTTTCAATATGTCTGATTTAAATGCAATCATGACATATCTAATTAAAAATATTAAATATTTTTATGAAATACACTAGGTGGACTTATTGCACTCATTATATATTTTTCTTTTTTATAATTATTATGTGCAGCTAGCCGCTCTAGCTTCAAACATCTGAAATATTGTTATTAAATGTATTAGTTTTGCCAACATTTTCATTGTGTGGTTCAAACCAAAGTATTTCAACATGCCTAAACTCTTATTATAATTATTCTATTGTATTGCTGTTGAGGAAAGCTTAACATAGAGTAATTTTCAATGAGAAATAATCTGATAAATTTTTATATTCTTCTTTATAAAATTTCTCTATCCTAATGCAAGAGCTCCATCCTCGACATAACATCCTAAATTTTTATCATGTGTGTATATATATATATATGTATGTGTTTGCATGTTTTTTTTTTTTTTTTTTTTATTTATACATATATTTATATACTGTTTGTCTATCATTAGAACATCTTCTTATAGAAAGTCTACAGTTGCCTCTTTCTGTTGCTGTAGAAACGAGCCCTAACCCCTTTTTTCATAGGAGTGTCTTGAAGCAATGCATTTAAATTTGGCATCTGGATGCACTTAATGATGAATTAGTGATATACATTTATTATTTTTAAGGGAAATATTTATTATAACATTTTGTCTTTCTTATGGTCACCATATGCCAAAAACAAAAATGAAAATAAAGCTGTCACTTGACTCATACACACATAAAATATCTAAGGTCTCTTACTATAGTAATTGTCTCCAATTAGACATATTGGCGAGAGTAGTTCTTACAATAGACAAACAGTATATTAGTAAATATATTATCTGCTTATAGGTAGGTGTGTGTGTATAAGCGTCATTTCATGTATTAATAGCTCTGATATTCAGTTAAAGAATGATTTCATTAAAATGCATCAAATGTTTTCTTGCATAGATCCTAAAATAGCTAATGCTTTGATGAAAATGAAAGCCATGGGTTTTACCAATGAAGGAGGATGGCTTGAACGACTTCTTATTACAAAAGAAGGGAACATCAATGATGCTCTAGATGCTTTGTATCCGAACAGTCAGAGACATTAGATTTCTCTGTTGGTCTATATAAAATATGGCATTTTCAAATATTTCCTTTTTTTTTTTTTAAATTTCTTTTACTGTATGGATAAATTTATGTGAATATAAAGGGTAAATTTATCATTTTATTGAAACACTGTATTACAAAATATTGAACACATACAGGGATTTATGTAATCTGTGTATCAAATCCTCTATATCAGTGTAGCAAACTGTATCAATGTTACAAATTGTGTAATTGTTTGATATATGTTTATGCCACAGCATTTCTGTTTTATCTGTGCAACAGTGTTTCTGTTTTATCTGTGCAACAATGTTTCTGTTTTATCATTATTCTGTGATTTATGAAGCACATATGTCTTTAAAAGTATTTGCAGTTAAATGTATATTGAGTCATTGTCATTAAGATTTTGAATATTTACAAACCAATCTGTTGTTGAACTTGTTACTTATGTTTTATTGAACATATCCTTTATATATCTCATTCATATAGTTAATTCTTATGTTTTAACACTTGATGTTATCTTTTTATTGATTAAATAAATGTACAAGTAAAATATTTGTGAGATCTTTTATGAAGTAGGAAACACAGCATGGGAAAATAAAACTTAAGATCATAATTCATAGAGCATTTTATGCTCTAATTTTGTATTTTTAATTAATGACATAAAATGCATAGTTTTTCAGTTGTTCTGCAGAATTTAGCATCAAATACTTTGTTTTGGTACAGGAAAAAGAATTTATTAGAATGCGTTATTTTAAAAAATAACATAAGTGATGTGTGTTTCTAAAGTTAAGTTCTGTTAAGTTTTTCAAGATACAGCAACATTAAACTGAGTAAAACATCAAATGTAAGATGTTGCATTTTTCACCTTAGGAGGAGAAGGAAGCAGTGTACCTGATAGCAGGGAAGGGTATGCAAGATATGCTGCCACTGGTTTCGCTGTGTTTAATATCAGCTCAAAAGGTTACATGCAATAGGTTAAGGGAGATCCATTCAAATAGTTACTCCAGATAAACAGGAAGAAATACACAATTTACTGTAATTAACAAGCAAACAGTGCAAAATTAACTCAAAGAGAATTCAGAGATTACTGAAGAGCTCCTTAACACGTGAGAAATATCACATATTATCGATATTTCTTAGAGAGCAGTATAAAGAATAACTTGGCTAATTCTTTGAGGATCTCTGACCTCAAAGAATTAGTGGAATAGCCTGGTCTTTGGAAGCTTCAGGGAAAATCTTCTATGTCTTCAAAAATGCAGTTTTCCGAAAAATTCAGAAAATTGCCAGACATTACTCTTGTCAAGAGATTTTTTGCATGTATCTAAGTATTTATTTGAGTTATTTTCATAATTTAACATTACTGAATTCAGAATCAAAAGAACTAAATTCTGTGCAATAAATAAGAACTTATATGTAAATTATGTGATCACAAATTACAAAAATTAATTAAAAAATGCACCCTGGAATTATTTCCTAAACTGTAACAAAGAAATAAGAAATTTACAACAAGACTAGGAAAAACTAACCTCTTTTTCACAGTACGCAGCGAGTCTAGCGTAGTGCTGTGTCTTAGGTTAAATGATTTAGGTAATATGAATATTGCAAAGCTAACAGGGGCTATTCTCCTAAGGGGAAAGAGAGGCGTTCATTGCGGGTGGATGGAAGAAATTTTGCGTATTTTGTGTAACCATGATTACTTCCTTCATCTGTATTGTTAAATTTTTTAGGAGTTATGTTAACACCACTATCAACTCATATTTTTTGCTTGTCGATCAAGTTGCCTTAGCATTGAACAATTTGATTTTCAGATGCAATTTCCTGCGTAAAACATGTTCATCATGTTCTGACAGACTGGCACGTGAAGTTCGCAAAGGATGTTTTGGAACAGGCTGTAGGCCTCCAGTCCATCTGTGAAGAACATCTTCTTTATAGGACAACTAAAAATATACATGCACTGAAATGCTAAACAAAAAATCTTCGAAAGCAAAGGCAAAAATGTAGCGCATTATGCAGGCATCTACATTCCTGCATTGAAGAACCTGTACTGCACCCAGTTCTAGCACAAAAGAGCAAACTACAAGTGTAACACACTGCTAAGTCTTAACAGCTGGAAGACATAATCTTAACAGCTTCTGCAGCACTAACACAGAACCAACCACATGGCATTAAATACAAATGGGCTACAAATAAAATTTATGCCCCGACACAGCTCCATCAACAGGCATTTAAAAATCCCATGCAATCAGAAAATTTTATGACCAAGAGCATCTCAAGTATTCTCGATTCAGTTTTCTCAGAAGATAACCAAGGTGAAGATACTCTCGAACATTCTTAAATAGAATACCTAGAGTTGCCGATTTTCTCTTCTGACCATTTCTCCCTCAACCCAGTTTACAGTGTATTTCTCCCGACTTTCTCTTATTCTTAAAATTTCTGATGATTTTTATGTAGCTTGCTTAATACTTTATCATTTGCACCAAAACGAGTGATTTGGGGCATCTGAAAGTACTTGATTTTTTTTTCTAGATTACATATCAAAGAAAATCAAATTCATTTCATCAGTGAGAAAAAATGCTGCTCTTCTGATTTGTGAGTGAGAGCTTGTATCTGAAAACGTCATATTCTTGTTTTCCAATGAGCATTGAAATTATAATGAGCAATGAAATTATGATCTTTTTAATTATGTCTGCGAAAAAAGCAAAATACTCATGTACTTTTCAAAAATTGTACACAGATGACTTTCCTTCTGTTATTTCCTCAAGGAAATGTAATACATTTGTAATGTGTACTGTTTGTCATCGCGATTTTTTGATTTCGAATGGTTAAAGGGCCATGTTCTCAAGCATGTACCTGACCGGAGCCAAGCCTAATGCATGTCTAGTGAGTGCCTTTATGCTGTGATGATATTAGAGGGAAATTACTTATTGTTTTTACTTATTGTTTATTAATATAATAATATGGAAAACCAAAAATATTACATTTTATCTTTTAATTATTCTAAATGTGCAGATATTTCAAGAAACCCACACTCAAACATATTATCAAAAAATAACATTGTCAGCGAAGTGAAATAATATAGTAAACACACTGAATATCAAATATACTGCTTAACATTGTTTATTATCTTAAAACTGAAAAAGTAATTTACATATCTAATAAGTTAAATGTTGAGAAAATATAAAGCTAGAGAGATATGTTATTTAGATGTGTAAACAAAAAAAAAAAAAAAAAAAAAAAAATATTTCATTTTAATTATTTACTAACAATTTATTAACACATTAAGAGGTTAGGTCACTTTAGAAATTCTTTTGGCTTAACTAACCTGAAGGGACAACTGTATGGCACAGGAATTGGCTGAGAAGTACAGTTTTGCATTGCATTTTCGATTTAAAAGTCTTGAAAAACATAACACGTTTTCCTTGAAACTATGTATCTTATGTTGACATACATTGTATATCATTTAATTTTGATCTATTTCACTTCAAACTTCATATGCATATTCTCAGACACATTATCATTGGAAGTAGTAAGTACCCAAGTTTTTTTAAATAACTGTTTTCTCAGTAATCCACGTTTAAAAAATGGAATTTTTACGATAAACGTTTTTTGTTTCTCAAATGTTGACTACTTGATCAGAAATGTTATATTTAAACTCTTTGGTACTCCCAAAGTTTTTGTAATGCATCTTAAGAGGTTTTCAAATTTATGTCTCAAGATAAAAATTAGGACCACAAAGATGTATGCTGATTGGTTCTGCAGAAAATGAGAGTCCTACTTCAAAGCAGCCCTCCACCAAGCTCGAAAGTTGAATGTACCTTTCAAGCATTCCAAGTGGCCTAACTCCTTAAATACGTTTTCACATAAATTGTGTTTGATTATGCATTAAAAGAAGCGTATAACACATACAATAAACAAATGAACTGAAACAAAATAATTTCAGTATTTAGTACGAGAAAAATTATAGAAATGGAACTTTTCAAGCTTTGTTTTTCACAAATTGATTTATAAGTAAATCTATATCTAATTCTTGTAAAATATCTCTTTCAATGGGTACAATTGCAAGATCTGCTAACCTCTGGTAGATCTCAGGTAATTTTTAATTGTATTTAATTTTGAAAATGATCTCTCTGCTGTAGCTACCTGAGACTGGAATATTTACTATTAAAATTCGTAGGCGTCTGTCTGTCTGCTTATGTCACCATCTCCTCCGGAACAGCAGGGAGTTCGAGATGTACCCCCCAAGATTCCAAAAATTTATGGGAAGCCATTTTGACCATTTTCTTCTTTGTATGACTTTAATCAGCCGAGATATTAATTAAAAACTACTCTGAAAATGCTAATTTTTGCATTCATTTTTTCCAGTAGCAACAGTCGCTGGAGATAAAAATGTTTTATTTCGAAAAGTGTTGCCACTGCTCGCTTTCAAATCAAAGAGTTTGTTAATAAAAAATGTATAAGTTTAACAAAATATGAAATAATTACCAAACATAAAATATATTATTATAATAATGTCATGTTCTGACATTGCAGAAAGCATGCAATTGCATGTGATGTCATTGTATGTTAATCACTTGCACTAAAGAGACGTGCCACACACGTCGAGATGCTTTTCTCTCAAATCGCATGCAAAAATGAAAAATAACATGGTGCGCACGTCGCCTAACAACGAGATTGTTTATTTCTCGAGTTGCAGCTCTAGATTGCACTCGCAGACGCGGGCCGAGCGGTAAAGTCGCTGAACACTGGTAGTTCGAATCCCGAGAACAGGCTGGCTGCATGGTTGTTTTTGTGGTTTTCCCCATGTGTAATGTGTATACAAGCCAGTTTCCCTTAGAAAGTCCTCCACGAAGGCATCCCACCCCTTAGGCAGATGGCCCTCGAGGCTTTGCCATAATCACACACATGCACTCGCAGACGCGGAGCGGCGTAAGTGAGATACTTTATCGTTTGTTGTATTGTAGCATATGGCATCGCAACTGTGAAGTTTAGTCATAGCGTAAGTGGTTAAAAATGAATCGTTAAGTCCGTATTTTAAATAAATAGCTGCTGTTGGCAATTTTTTTGTTTCACATAGGATAATTGTCATGGTATGTTATTGCCACATTAATTCTTTTAATTGTAATTAACTATACTTCATTAAAAATAATAATTGTATATAAAAAAGTAAAAGTAGAAGCTTTCAAAGTTTATCTGAACATATCATTCATAAATTTTAAAATTAGTTAACATAATTCTTTATGATAATTATTCAGCTTCTTTCTTGCATTACTCACACTTTAGATGTCATTACACAATTCTATATGAAAGCCCAGAATATTTACCACATTAAGACACAAAAACATTGTTTATCTTATTCTGTACTAATTTTTGAAAATTATTTTATTCATGTAAATATCCTTATCATTATTTGAAAATTTTCAACGTAAGTTAAAAAATATTTTGTTGCAACGACAAGTTTTCCATCAAAAAATTTTCTTAATAAAGTTAGAAAAAACATGAAAGCAGTACCTTTAGTGTGGGTAGTAATCAGCACCCAAAACTATTACTTTTTG